GGCCGTTTAAAGCGATCGGCTGATCATTACTTACGAAGTGCTGTTGAAATACTGCCGATTCCGAGGAAAAGAGGAACGGGTAGACCAAAGGAAAGTTATTTTTTGCGTTCAGTATTGCCTTCGCAAGTGTGATGCATCAATTCACCATCTTACACATTTTGTTTGTATCCAATCGATCACATACGAAAGTTTGACAAGTGTCCTAAAACTTTATGTAGGATTACAGAACGTGTAAGAAATTGACTCGTGCCGAGGACCCGTGTTAAATAGATGCTAGGAAGAAAAGTATTAGCTATTTCTGAAATGAGCAATATTTCGACTACTCTGATGCTTGTTTTTCGAATGTTGCCACGATAGGCCCGACGATGGAGCGCCTTTCTCGTAGTCGAGGCACAAGTTCGAATCCAGTCGGGAGTCACTTTTAATCGTTCTGAGCGAGATGAATCGTTTTGTGGGAAAGAACTAGTCACTACAACAATCCCAAGCTGTCGAAATCGCCTTAAAAATGAATCACTCCTAACCGGTGGTGGTCTCGAAGCAGTGATCAATGTTGTACCATACGCTCCACGAAATTTGGACTCCGGACTTCGAAGCCGATTTCTTTACCACTCTCACCGCTCAACGTTGCCAATGATATTAATGACTTGCTAGAAGCTTATTTATTTCTAGTTTCAGCACTGGTACTCTTACGAAATTTTGTACATAAAAAACGCCGGTATTATGGGCTTACCAACAACAAACAAGTGATTTTCGATACCGCTTGTAAGAAAAGCAATCTCCTGTCAATTCTCCGGATTTATTCGGTGCAGGCACACTGTCTTCTTGCTTCTAGTACCCTAAGGGGCCATTTAAGCAGTCCGCGGCTCCATGGTATGTTAGCACCTACAGTGCATGGACGCAGAAGCGCATCACTGTGCAACGCTGAACAGAAACCTTTTCTGACACCTCCCTGAAAGCAAATTTGAAAAACCATTTGAAACCGTGAAAGACTGAACCTACAAAAAAGCATCGAAGTTATCATATTGAAAACAGTCGTATTTATGACACTCATGTAACTTTAGAAACGTACTGTGCTAAGAGTCATGAAATTTGGCTTGACAGCTTCCAACACGAGTCTGTGAGGTAATCTGGAAGTGCAATTCTACAACCGCGGTGGACAATACAGATGTTGGAAATACTTAGCTGGGACAGGCCTACTCATGATGGCGTTCATTGGCAAACACCATTTATTTTGTTAGTGATTTTATTCATAAGTTGTAATTATTTATGCAGAGCAATCATGTTAAATTCCTTTGAAAATTTTTCCTGATGATATAGGCTACAGTTTTTTGAACTGCGTTCTTTTGACTTCCTTAGCTGATGCTGTCGCAGACATGTCAGCCGAACTTCATCGTATGTCACTAAAATGAATCCTTTCCGTTACTAGATCCTGACTACGCTTTTGAGTCTGGCACGATTTCAAGAAAATGATTCTTCATCATCAAACTGCTGAGCAGTGTCTTAATTCATATACTGCTACTTGCTCTCACTTGTTCTGTTATTGATATCTTCTTTGCGGAGAGTTGTTGAATCGTCATATGGTTCTGAATCGTTGTTCTCCTCATAGATAGTAGGCAAAGCTGGTTTTACAGAGGGATTTGGTCGCCACGCTCTTTAGCCTCGGGGATAGCATAATAAAATTTTTCCATCATACGAACTGGGAATGAGGACTCTTAATCAAAAATAATAGAAGATCTGAACAATACTTAGTGGATAGTAGGAAACTTAAATTGAATAGCACTGTACAAACGGTTGTAATGGTCATGACTTACGAGATTCTACACACTTAGCATTACCTGAATTCATTCATCGTTGCATCTCTCTGAGTGGGATACATAACGATGCCATTTGTAATTTTTCACAAACTGTTGTTCTTATCGTTTTTTCTTCGATTCGTGTGTTGTGCATCTGTATATTTTTAGTTCCCGGCGGCTCAGACGGACCAAGTGGAGTCCTAATTTGTTGCGAAAACTACATAGTTTATAAGAACTTGGGCGACCAGCCGGATATTCGTTGCCCGATCCCCCGTCGCAGGGTATGTATGCTAATTTGATAAGAGCTTTCGTGATGCGAATATGATGGAAATGAGAAATCAGGGTTAAGTCTTGTATTGATTAGTACTTTGAATAGTAATCTGTCATGTAGGTCAATGCGAAGGTCAGCCACAAGGGGGCGGGGCACTCACATTGTGCAGCATGATCAAACGTATCGTCCATTCTGGCATGACCAAACCAAACCAACTTTTCCCAAGTCTCGGGCGTAATATCCGTTTTTGTCTGGTAGTGCCGAAGCAACGT